GAGCCCTATGCTGTGTGACATGGATAAGAGTTCGATAAATATTCCCATCTCGGCTCCCCTCGATGAAAATCTTCATCTCAACAGCTCATCGCGGTCCACTGCGTGTCCGCCCTCGACACTTCGTTGGAGCTTCGCTCTTCGTTCGCTGCGCTCACTCATTCACAAACCTCCACGTGTCTCCGGGTCCGTCGCCGCTGGGCTAGGACTTGCCCGAGAAGAGCCGGACACGTCATTCTTGGCATACTTATATTCTAAGTAATAATAATAGGATAGCTTAAATTTTGGTATGCCGGGCATATCGTGTTTAGCTAATGATAATATTATATTAATTTAATAATTATTATTTAGCAGGCCGAGCACATCGTATCAAGCTTGGTAGTAATTTCTGTTATTCTAATTAGATAATTCAATTTCTGGTATGCCTCGTCCATCGTCTTTAATCTAGCTAGAATAATATTAATTATATAAGGCCGTAGGCCTAATGGGCACGTCATTTAAGCATACTCATAATAAAGGTAATAAATTATTACTAACTAAAGTTTGGGTATGCCGGGTCCATCGGTTTAAGTTAGCTAGAATTCTTTTATAATATAAAGGCCATAGGCCTGACAGCAAAGCGATTAATGCATGGCTCATCATCTTTAGCTTTATCATTATTCTGTTATATTAATTGTAATACTAAGTATGGTACGCGGGGTCCATCGTATTTAAGCTAGTGATTATTTAATTATCTAATATAAGGCCCGAGGCCTAACAACAATATAATTCATACTGGACACATCATATGAACCCTTATGATATTTAATCTAATATTAATTTGATAACTATTTTCTAGTATGCTGAACATATCATATTTAGTATAATGATATCTAATTAAGATATATCATAATATATCATGTACACCAGGCTCTACATATTTGGCTAAACACTGATTTAATATAATATAGGGCCTCCGGCCCAATAACAACACAACTAATGCCGGGCCCATCGTGTTTAAGCTAACTAAAATTTATTTTAATAATCTAAGGCCTCCGGCCTAATAGCAAACTCAACTTTAGCCCCGCCCATCATGTTTAGCTTTCTAATATTTAATTTATTTAATAAGCTCATCGCAGTTAAACTGTTCTCGATACTTTAGCTGAAGCTTCTCATTGGATTTCGTCCCTCATCCAATTTATAACCTTCACTCGTATCTCCGAATCCGTCGCCGATAGGCTAGGACTCTCCAACCACACACAAATTTGACATTACTCATCGTATTTAACTATTCAGTCTTAATGTTAACTATCTTAAAGACCGAAGGTCGCAACAGATCTATTCATCTGATGAATTTAGATTAGGCTGATTGGTATTAATAATAATTTCATTTGGATAGCAACGAATAGTTGTACCTAGCAGGTTGATTTGGGCCCTACGATTATTAAGCTCTATGAATGGAGTAAGGCTCAAACTAGCTTGCTTCCAGCGAACAAAAATTAATATAATGAAATTGGAAATCCGGGCCCGGTAATGAGTTTTTGGTTCTTCGCACCCCCCGCTCACTATGACGGGTTATTATACATTTGGGGTGAGCATCCTTAAACCCGAGGGGGATCCCAAAGGTCATGATTGCCGTAGGTGAACCGGGAGGTCCTCCACTTGGAGGGGTCGGGTACTCGACTTTTCGAATCGGCTTGATAATTTATTCTTGGGATCTTATCACTGATTACTTAAGTATATAAGGAATTATTCGAGAGGGGCTTATTCTACCTGGAATGGGCAAGGTATTTACCGGATGGAGGGGCCTCTACCCTTCAAGGGTTTATACTCCTCTCATCAGGGTGGATCCAAAGGAGGGCCTTCGGGTTGGGCTCAGAATCACTTGGGTGGGTGGCCTAAGGCCTTCAGGTCTTCACCAGAGGAAGGCTTCCAACTTGAGGGGTTGGATATCCCTCACCTCAGGGAATAATAAATTCTTCGTGGGCAACCCATTACCCTTTAGTGGTAAACCATCCACCCGGGAGGAGGCCTCTACCCTTTGGGGGTTTGATATCCTTCAGCTCAACTAGATCCTGAATACCATGCGCGAAGCTCATTCTTTTATGGGTAGTGACTTGGAGGCATGGGATACCCGATATATCTCACCCACTAGATGGCCCTCAGGCCTTCATGTACTATCCAAGAGGCTTCCGGTAGAGCTCTCACTCTTTGAGGGGGATCCAAAGGTCATTAATACTGTAGGCGTTTCAAGGGTACCTTTGGGATCTCCAAAAAAACAAAGTCAATTGATAATATTCTAGCCTAGGTAGATGATCCGGGTGATGAAATGGTTACTACTCAAATCTAGGGGTCCACCTTTCTCGGTGGGGGGGTGTGTAGGAGATCTAATAGGAAATAACGCACCAGCTTCCGATAGCACGACTTTGTTATGACTTAAACCTAATCAAGAAAACGAATAAATCGAGATCTCTATCATGTTTTGACAGGCGATTTGTACAATCTCAAGATAAAATTCATCAATCGATAGTAAAGATTGATTACTAGCAATTCCTCCTTCAAATTAACAAATTACAGTTAATTATCAGAACAAGATAAGGATAATATTAAATTAAACTTATCAATGTAATAAATGTATAGCCCTAGATATAGATCATGAGTACTTAAAGTAAGTAATCCAGAAGAAAGGATTATATTAGTCAATTAAATTATTGCTAAAGAAACTTACAATAGCCATGCAATACTAAGAATCAAGGTAAGATGTATAGAGTATTATCTAATTAAACCACATATTCCACTGCTGTTGTTAAGACCCGTCAAATCAATTCCATTTCAATGTTGCCAAAATACTAAGGAGGTATAAAGTTATTCACTTTCAATTGAGGGTATAGATTAATCAGGTATCTAATCTGGTTTATTGACTATACTTTAGTAATCTAATGTCAATCTATTAATAATTTAATGTTATCACATGTTTTTCCAATTGATTTTATAAAATTCCATCTTTAAATCAATTATTCATTAAATTTCTTAAAGATTCTAGTTGTATAAGAAACCATCTATTTACTTTTAAACCTATTTATTATCAATTACACTATTCTATCTGTTTTACCGCGGCTGCTGGCACAGAAATTCTCCAGAATAAACTATCTTTGAAATCTTGAGGATTCCTTTCTAGTAATTATCTAAATCATTCTAATAGATAAAAATCATTAACTGAGTCAAATAGAAATTCATTGCTCAATATTTTTCACTGCTGCCTATGGGGATTGTTTTTTAGCAATCCTGTGACTTTCGTTAAGGATTATGGGCATGATAGCTTTCTATTTCTATCATTTACCTAAACCTATGGATCTCATATCTTTCTCTTTATTTAATTAAAAGGTAATAAGATCCTTTTCTCACCCTCTTATATTAGATATATAAATATCTTTTTATTAACATGTGTTACTTAATGATTTGTGTCCTTTGTTAGCTATGATCATACATATTTATTTTCTTTTGTTATTTACTACTGAATACACTATGATAATTCTTTATCAAGAAGGCCAGAAGGAATTTAGTGAGCTTCCCGACTGAATCAAGTCTTAACTTAAATATCACCTTCCATCTAAAAACTCATGATAATCATAATACTTAATTCATATTAAGATTTTAGCCATAAGCCTCTAAAAATGGAAAGTGAACCAAGGTGAGACGGAGGGGAGAGGTTCAGTCCAGACCTAAGGTCCAGTCAGATACTTCCCCAACCTTGCCATAGGCGAAATGGGCCTAAGCCAATTCTTCAATTCACGATTTACATTATATGTTTTTACTCGGTACTTTTTTTATTTTCATTCATTATCTAATTGTGACAATCCAAAGGTGTGAGGGGCCGGGCATCTAGCCCTTCAATCCAATAGGTCTAAACTTAGGATATAGACTTTCTATATAGAATTGAGAATTGAGAATTTCTATTGAGTATTTAAATCTTGGGGGGGGGTCTGATTAAACTAGAATAAAGATAATACAATTCATTAATATATTCCCGTAGGTCAATAGTGTAATAATATAAAATTAGGAGAGGTGTAATAGAATAAAAGTAATAGACCAAATAATAGCCGGGCATAGACTTAATGACCTGTGGGATCCATAAAAAGATGAGGGATACAAAACCCTAAAGGTAGAAGCCTCCCTCTGGTGGATGGCTAACCACCCCAGGGGTTATGGGCCTCTGCCAAAGAACCTACGGCATGAATGAGGGCCTGAGGGCCATCTACCTCCGGTATAGCTAGAGCCGGGTAAGGTGTATGACCCTCCCTCCAAGAAATAGAATTAAACCTGAAGAGGTATATGAAGAACCTACGGCATGAATAATCCTACTGGAAGAAATTCATTCGCCTGCAGTGGCGTGGCAATAGGCGGAGCTTGGTACTGAAATGAAAAGAATTCATACTCCACCCTGAATACCCCTATGCGGATAAAGGAAGTAAACTCCTCCTAAAGAAGAGATTAATAAATAATATTCGTGATCAATTAGCTAAGTAGATCCTAGAATTAGAATTCATTACGAGAAAGATACCCAAGTCGTGACGCCCCCCATTGGGGTGGTCTTCCCAAGATCCTTAAGTTGAAGTATAAATAGTATCACTTCCCCGTCGCAGTCGGGTGAGCACACGGACTTTATGGCAATACGGTAAGCCAGACTTAAAGTTTATCGAAGAATCAGGGTGGTGATCATCCCAAATCAGGCGATTACCCGTAAATCCATCATCAGGAGATCGATGGTTTATTTGAGACCTACCAATCAATATTCATTCGCCTGCAGTGGCGTAGCAATGGTTGGCATTTCCAATCGCTCGGTACGAGGGGGTGACCACCAGACCTTCGGGTTACGTTATCGAAGCACCTACGGCATGAGCTTCGCGGGATGAAGGCCTTCGGGCCATCCCGTAGAACAAGATAATCAAATATCAGGTAATGGGTAACCAAACCCATCAAGATGGAGGGACCTCCCTGGTGGTTCATTAATCTCCTTGAGCTTGGGGTGCCGATTCCGAACGGTCCATTATCTTAATTCAATTTAGGAATACCCATCCAAATCGCCTATGGCAATGAGCTACGCGGCCTGGTGGCCTGATGATCATCCACCAAGGAGTTAAGGTGACACTTATGAAGAAATCCTTATCCTCTAAGAGGTAGATAAGCCGAGACCCTCCAGGTAGATGCCCCACCTCCCTGCGGGATCCACGAAAGTATTGGGGGGACCGATTCCGAACGGTTAATTATCTAAATTGAATTTAGGGAGGCCAAGACGCTCAAGGTAGATGCCCCTCCGAATCGCCTACGGCTCACCACCCTCCTGCGGGATCTAGTACCTAAAGGTAAATGCTCATCCTGAAGAAACCATAGTTAAGTAAATAGATCCAATACCTAGTAATGGGCAACCAAACCCCTCAAGGTAAATGCCGATACCCTGTAATTAATTGTCCACCCCGGGTGGCGGGAGGCGGCCTCCCTCCAGTGAATACCTGAAGGCCTTAGGCCACCCACTCAAGAGATTGTGAGCCCTTCCCGAATCGCCTACTAATTCTTGACCTGCGGGATCCACCCAGGTATAGGGAGTATACACCCCTCAAGGTTGAGGTCTCCCCACCGGTAAATACCTGAAGGCCTTAGGCCACCCATTAAAGAGGTATTGAGCCCCTCTCGAATCACCTATGGCATGGATGGAGGCCTGAGGGCCATCTAGTAGATACAAGGATTCATATCCCTTATGAGTTTAGGTAGCCGATTCCAAAAACCGAGTACCCAATCCCTCAAGGTGGAGGTCCTCCCTGAATCGCCTACGGCATGTGCTGGAGTGCCCGAAGGCCCACCCCTCGGGGCTACACCCTTTCATTTCAAGCTAGCAAGCAAATTATTATACATTCAGTTACTTCTTAGGGGATGCTTATTATAAGTCAGGAGATCCATTGACCCACGGGTATCACCCCATCGTTGAAGGGTGTATGTTGTGTATAAACACTTACCCCATGATCTTCGTCCTGGCCCACCACCATCTGATTTGGTCTGGTCTAATCATCACCGAAGGTTTCACAACCATTCTTAGAGGTCATAATTTCCATTTTATCCCACAGGTACTGATCCTTTCTAAAGGCTAAAGGATTAGCCCTTAAGTATATCTATCTTTGGGGGGGGATCCACCCTCCAAGAGATAAATTTAATTATTAGTTGTATCGAATAGAGCATTCCGTTTATCATGACATTCTGGATTCAATTTAGAATCTCGAAAGAAGTCGATGCCCAAAGGTCATAGCCTATTTTGTCCCCCTGAATCAAATACCGGAAGTCGCCCCTCGAAACCTTTAGGTTTTCCTCAAAGGTCAGTCAGAATCTCTTCACTCCCTGTCGTGCTCATTCACCTGCTCGGGCTAGTAAGTCCCTAGCTCTTAGTTAATAATAAATCCTACCTCTAAATAGTCGGTGTAGAATAGCTTATGGGTGGTAGCGACCCGCCTCCCTGCGGGTTATATTAAGTGATTATATATTGCTATTCAGTTAACCAAGTAAGAGTTAATATTAAATTCCGAGGTAAAGAGATATCAGTATATAATAAAAGATTAAGTGAAGGAGAGGCGATCTACGGATTGGCCTTCAGCAAAGAAAATAAACCTAAACTTGTGGTGTCGCGGTAGCGAGCTCAACCCTAGCGATTTATTTCCGATGATCAGTTGCGCAATTACCAATGAATTTACTGGTAGGTACCCCAACCAAAAGTGTACCCACCATTGATTTTAGTCTGAGTCGAAGACCCAAAGGTCTCTAATCTTGCAATCTCTTTAATTTTGGTTTGGGTGGGACCCCGAACCTTTTTCAAGGAGGTAATAATTATACCTGAAGGGCTATTACTAAAAGGGTATCAATAAGACCGAATACGACAAGTGTATAGTAGGTGATCCTATGTATCCCAAAGGTCATTTTATAAATCCCTACACCTCCAATTAGTAAGGAGATGAATTAGATTGAATTAAATAGAAGAGATAGATTAGGATATACGGGTATTGCTTAAGCCGAAATTTAGGAAGTGAAACCCTGAATCAGGTTCCGAAAGGTTCTAAATTGAAGGTATACATTGAGGGAGATATGGAGAGCTGCGCTCTCCAGATAGTACGATATGTTACCTGATTATTTAGGTTCTTGAGGGAATTCATAACAATTGTTTAGTCTATCATGGCTTCACCCTGACCTTCGGACACCAAGGGCAATGAAATGGTTAACTAAGATAATATGAAATGGCATCCATACCACAACTCAAGACCTCTGGGATAGGTGCGCGAGTTTCAAACCGCCCCCACTCACTGGTAAAGACCGTGTCGACTTGGATTCTAGGGGGTAACCCCAATTAACCGGATCCTTGGCGTAATATCAAAGGGACATCTGGCCCATAGACCTGAAGGTTAAGAGGATATTTTCAATCGTCAGAGACATAAAGTTAAAATCAATCCCAAATTAAGTGGTGGGTACCCATTACCATAATAGGATGAGTGTCCCTACATAGATTAGGTCGTGTTGAGTCTCCCGTAGGTCTATCGCGGAGCCCACACAATCCCCGAACCCAAGCCATGTAACTCATCCCGTGAGAGTGTCCACACTGGACCTACTGAATTAGGATTAGGCGAAATGGCCATCAGGCCCTCAGAACAGTGAATGGGGGTCTTCTGTGAAGCGTATCCGGAAGTGGTGTGAGGGGATCATGAGCCCCAGCTATCGTAGGGTTGAGTGTGCGAGTAGGAATACTCTAACTATATAAAGCCCGTGGGATTGGTGGCCTCTATCCATTGTACTGGATGGACCTGCTTTAGCTAAAGAATACATAGTCTCCAACAATAAATTGGTCATATCATTAAATGGGGCTCCGCCCCCCCTAATTTGACCAGGTGTGCGAGTAGAATTATCTGTCTCAGACTCAAACCCGTGGGATTGGTGGACCCAATGGAAGGTGCTGGGCGATCGAAATCCATGAGGTGGATCACTCTATACGTTGTTTCCAACGATTCAATTCCAAATAGGTATACGATTATGCCGTAGGCGAATCCCAGAGGTCACTTCTAATTTGCCCTGCAGAGTGAATAGTCTACCAGAAAAGGACTGCGGAATTTAGAAGATGAGGCAGACACCCCCCATCCCGAAGGTGTGAAGATCAGGATCCCAAAGGGGGGTGGTGAGCCACATTTGTCTTTTGGCTAACAGTGTTAAACCAATATCAGCTCCCCATTTCTTAGAGTCATTTTATAAATTCAGTAGAGAACCACCCATTAATTTTAACTTTAGCTATTCTTCGCCTTGGATCTTATCAGTCGATTAGATTTTTGATAAAGCAATTGCTCGCCACTTCTTATTTCATCTTCTGGACATCTTGATGGAATACCGTGTATTAGAAATTAAGAAAGGTTTAGAATCTGAGAGAATAAACGATTACCCCTTTCGTAGAACAGCTAGTGTTGACTAAACCCCAAAGGAGGGTGGTGAGCGATTGACTTTCTCGATTGAGGAGTAAGGATAATCGACAATAATGAGATTTTACTTTAATTCACCACCAATTAATTATATGATCTCCGTGGTTGGCGTTCCGATTTAATAACTTTCTGTTTATCTTATTATAGAAGAATATGGGGCTCCGCCCACTCTGGTAGGGTCGAAGACCTAATTTCTACGAGAGTCATACCCATTGATTGACCTTAGAGGTGGTACAATCTCTTCATTAATTTTATGATTTGCGGGATCTACATTTCATTCACCTGATTTAGTTTACAGATTACTGAAATGGTGTAGACTAGATCCTTGAAATTAGATAATCAGATGTCCATTCACAATCTCGATCTGCGGATGTCCTTCACAATATCTATTTTTAGATCTTTAGATTTAAATTAATAAGATTTACCCTCTCTCGAAATAGTTTAAGGTTATGTCTGACCTCAGGGGTGGTTGAATTCTACAAATCTTTCACTATCAATCCATTGAAATCGCACCCGTAGGCCGCCAATTGAGTAGAGGGCTTTGCCCCAGTTTCCAATCATGAAAACCAGAGATCCTGTTCGTGGATCACCTCCTTCCATCCAATTAAACCTGTTTGGGATAGTCTATCTCTTTTGGCAAGTCCTAGCGTAGCGGTCTTCCCCCCGGACGAGATGCCCACGGCGATACTTTAGCTGCGATATCCGTAGGTCCACCCATCCCGTATGTCAATATGATGGGTCCCACCCTCCAACTTATCTAGTATACATTCGAATAGGTAGACGGAGTCTGGTATCCGGGAATTTACCACTAGAATTGTCACTTTGGGAGAAATGACTCCCACATTGGTGGGGGGCGACGACCCCCCCCTCACTGGTCATGGATTCGACATTCGAGAGATATTTGGGTCTAGTGGTGGGGTACCTGGTCTTCCATTAGGTTTCTCTTTATTTGTGGGTATTCTCTCTATACCTGATTTAGATAAAGTAGTAATAATCTCTATATGATATGAGGACCGCCTACTAAATATTAATTGGATTGGGGGTGTGACACACATTTAATTTTAAGTATTCATAATAGACAGGCATGATCCTTTTAGGAGTACACCGTGGAATCTCCTGGGGGACTTGATGGCTAATTTCTAATTGGTTATGATTATTATCCTATTTAATCTCTTCATAAGGTACTCGTAAGAGTCTCCACTGTAGACAATTATATCTAATTAATTAATATGAAAATAAATGACCTTTAGGACTGGTCGGAACTCAATCCGAAGGCCTGAGGGCCCTCCCATCTGAAATGATAAAGAGATCCCGATCCGAAGGAGGGTGGGAGCCACCATGATTCCATGAAATAGATAATGAATGATTATTATAAGTAAAAAGTACCGAGTAAGGGCTAGTAAGAAGAAATTGGTCCCACACCAACTTTGGGCCTGGTGGGCCGATTGTACCTAGATAAATTTGAATAACTCAAGACTTTCTTAGATAATTCTTTGCTTTACCTTGAGGGACACTTAGCTTACTACTGTAATAAGACCCACCCGGGGTTTACCTACCGGACTATCTCCCACGAATTTCTTTTGGATCTGCCTGACTAATTTCCTTTTGTATTTCGACTTAGACCTACCAGCACACGTATCTTTACTCTGCCACCGTGTAGGTATTTGGTCCACCGATTACATCTAAACGAGCCCGAAGGTCAACCATTGAAATCTATATATAAGGAAGATAAATAATTTTATTTATTAGAATTGGGTTCCGGACCCCCAATAGGATCTCGAGGGTATTCTCAACGGAATTGACCGTGACTGTAATTCAGAAGATTACTTTAAAGATATCCAACGAGTGCTCACCACGAGATTCGCCTACAGCAATTCCAATCCTGTAGATCAGGGTGTAGTGTTTACACTTAATATGGGCGAGGGCCCCAGTCCAGCGCTCAACTCATTCGCTACCTATTCATTCGTGAGGGGCCCACCACCAATTTTATTTAGTCGACCCCTTTTGGCTTTATCTTTGAAGTATCTGTATGGGGTCCCCCTGACCTGCGGGATCTACTAGAGTCCCCCCGGAGGTTCTGTCCCTCCTGGTGAGGTCCGCCACCCTTTAACTTTGGACTCCCGTCTTAGGGGAATTCCACCATCACCCCCCTCACACCTCCTCATCTATGAATCGAGTTTTGGTTTGAAGTTACTGCATGAATATTTAGCCCGACTCTACCAAGGTGGGGTTTACCCTTCATCTTGGGTTGGGCAACGGAGGGTTTGGAGTTCTACTTCCAATTCGGAGTGGCTTCTCGTGGATCTCCCCACCTTCGATTGGGTGTCACCCTCCAACTCGAGTCTTTGTCTGGTAATTATATTTTATCTACAAGATTGTAATAGAGGATTGAAAATCATAAGAGGGCCTGAGGGCCAACGAATTCGTTGTGGTCTTTTGGGCTAATTCATCGTCCCATATTCTGGGGAGTCCGGCCCGAGTTCCCGTTTGGCACGGATACCTCCACTTTAGGCTGGCTTCACCGGTGGCTCCTCTTTATACTTATAACATATAATTAGGAATATCGCGATGAATCCGTAGTGGTCCCCGTGGGTGACCTTCAGGCTTTTCCACTTCAATTGGATCCGGTAAACAGGTGGTTGACCTTCGGGATTTGGTCCCAACAACAATCACCCGAAGGCAATTTGGAGTAGGGACGATTCGCCAGTTCACAATTCTTTGCAATAGTTATACCCTTGGGTAGGACGTTCGCCTTTTCGGTTTGATCTGGCTGGTATCTCTTTAGGTGTCCATTTTAATTCACCTATTCACCAAATCTTTGGGTGGACTTAGGGCCATCCGGGGGGACCCCAGTGGACAAGATCCGGAATTAAAGCTCCCTCCTCGGCTCCGAGACCCTTAATATCAAATGCCTCCTAGATAAAACCCGAGCCTCTGAGGTCCAACCCGGGTGGAAGAGGTCTGTTGTCAACTCCAAATCGATTAATGGGTACCCCGGATCAGTAAAATGAGAATAACGATTAGTTAGTACAGGTAGTTGATAGCTCATACTGCAAATTAAACTATTTCTCAATAATTTATAAATTCATACAATCTACTAATTAAAAATAAGTTATTCCTATCAAGGATCAGTTCACCAATAATATATCCGAGTACATTAAAATTATTAGCAAGAGATAATTAATTAAGCGTAGCAAGAGGGATACATTTCTATTATTGATAATTCAATTATCGATAGATCTTACAATGTAATAGACCAGTATGTTATCTATTTTTCTAATTCACGTAGGTCAATAATCTATATCAGTATTATATTAAATGTATACCTAATCAAATATTAATAGTAAGTGAAGGGTAAGAGATAATAATAAAAAAGGATTTACCATAAATGGATTGGGCTGAGAGGCCTATCCCGAAGATCCTGATTTGCCTTTTCAATGAATAGCTTACTTTAGAATTATATTTCTAGACTATACCTTTATTACAGTTATAATATTTATATGATTATATCCTAATATCTTATAGAATAGTTATCTTAATTATATATACTAGAATTTAATAAATCATTATACACTAATCTTATCTTATTTATATATCTATTAGAAGTCTATCATATAAAGATCATATTCTATTATTATATCCCTATAAGAAATTGATACTTGGTTAAGAATCTATGATTAATTTAATATTAGATATACACCTTTATTAATTTAATTATACTAGATATAAACTTAATTATTATAGTAGAGATAAAATTTAAATAATCTTATATAAATAGACAGGTAATATAATAACTTTTAAAAGTAGATATGTGGTGAAGGTCAATCCATTATATGATTATATTCTAAATCATCTTTACTAATAAATAAGTATACACTAATTAGATTTCTATAATAAATAATATGATATATTAATATACTAATAAACTATTCATTTGATATTCTAATGATTCAATTCTATACTAAATAGAAATTTATATTTAATTAATACAGAATACTATACACCTTATTAGAAGATCATATAATAATATAAATACTTAATTGATTACTTAAGTAAAGTAAATACATAGATTAAGAAGAGATCTTTGGATTCATATTTATATTTATTAAATTATTATCACTTGTCTGATAGTCTAAGTATTAATAATTTCTTATCTTAATGATTCATGTAACCATATGATTTATTAATATTGATTTATCATATGATGAGATATAACCTAAATAGGAGGTTGATCCCTAAGGTCATTTACTTGTGATACCTAGGTAATTTATTGAGGGACTATATAACCTACTACGATCTTCTCATTTCTTTAATAACTAACTTCTTATTCTTTACTAATATATGATATTATACTATTCACCTTATACTATAATCATATTCTAATTTAATATAAATATTCTAATATGTAATAGCTAATGATAAATATTTATTGATTATCATAATCCTCTATAGATATATCATTATATAATATTTTCTATCCTATAATCTAATGATCTATTAGAATCCAAAGATATCTTTGGTTTAAATACTTGTACTAATAATATATTTGTAAGATGTGATAGGTGAATAGATGATATAATTAATAGAATTCTATGAAGAGTCAGATCATTTATATCTGAAGATCAATTGGGTGGTGATCCATCATCTAATTGGTGATATATAAAGTAATTATAGTATATAAATTATATAATGGTCTATCGTAGATTAATCTAAGTATATTTGTCATACATCTAACCAATCATTCATGTATATTATAATTAATAGAGAATATGATAGTTTAGAAATAGGTGGGACCAAACCCTTGGGGTATTGCATCCTATCAACTATTCCCCGTAGATTATATAAGTTAAATCTTGAGGTGAAGAGAAATAAAAATATAAAAATATAAAAATATAAAAATATAAAAATATAAAAATATTATTAAGAATAAAGGATAAAGTAAAAATAGAAAGACATCCATTTAGAAAGTAGTGTCATTATAAAATTCCATCCTCTTTTGGTCTTCTTCTCATTCCACGTCTACTTCCGATCTGATTACACGAATATTCTTAACTAAAGAGTGAATTCTATTCTCCTATAACTATTTTCATATTCTAATTTATCCTTACCTATGATAATTCTAAGGGGATTTGGTAGGTCCCTTCACTTAGACTTCTATTTAGATTAATTATGATTACTATAGCTATTACTATTATTTAATTTATAATTATTACTTCTAGAAGGCTATCTATATAATATTAGAATTACTAGATTAAGAATGATAACTATTACAATTATTATAACTATTACTATAATTATAACTATTACTCTTCTTAATTATAATAC